GAATGCGTTACGGCTTAAAACGGCTTTCCATTCCATTAGATGAATCGCGCGGATAATTAATGTAGTTACGGTTTCCCATGATATTCAATCCGCAAAACCATAAAGCTGCGGCCGTGTAATGTTGTACAAGGATATTGAGTGCGTTTGCGTCAGGATACTCGCGCTCGGTACATACAACAGAATCGGTATTATAACAATTATTTTTCGTCATTTTTACATGCCATATATATTTAAGTCTCGAGACGCTAATATAATCATGTTTTATCTATCATTTTTACAATTCATATATCGATTCGCGTTGACTTTTTTAAAAATATATAAAAAGAACATTCTCTCTCCCCACAGATTTTTCATGAAAAAAAAAGAATCAAATATTCATTCTGTAATCTTTACTTTAACATATATAATCTCTTTTTTAAATATCTAGATATAAATATTCACGTTTTAAAAGACTTTCTCAGAAATTATAAATTAATTAATTAATCAATGAAGAATTCACGAGTATTTCTTTGTAAATAGAGATTGAGACTTCTTTGAGAGGATTTTGAGAGGACTTTAAGACCCCTAAATTTAAAATCACGTGCCAGATTAAATGTGAAGCGTATCAAGCATCGTTTCTGTGCCACCGTTATCCAGCCATTTTCTCGCATCGAGAGATATATCTCGCGAGGCGAAGTTCTGCTTGAACATCAAAAATTCGCGTATTCTCTCGGGATGGGAGCTAAATCATTTAAATTTCTGCGCAAACGACCGCGCGCGCATGCGGGTAAAACTCAGACTCTCCCGGCGGAGGAAAGTTTAAAAAATGACTGGAGGGTAAAAGACAGAGAGAAAGAGAGAGAGAGAGAGAGAGAGAAAGAAAAAAAAGCGCGAGGAAAGGGTATTATCCGGTTCGCGAATCGTCGAAAAGTTTCGCGTCGAGGGTGATCTCGCCCGAAACTATCCTTAAACTATCGTCAAACTATCGTTGCTACTGACCTTGTTTTCGAGCCGCGTCTCGAGTATACGACGTGCCGAAAATCTTGTGCGGAAGTTAGTCCCTTCTCGCAAGTGTGTACATTCGCACAAAGAAATTTCCATTTTAATAGTTCTGTTTGCTTTAGCTGCTGTACTATGTCGGAGCACGACTTTGTCCCGGTTTGCTTCATTGAGTGAAGATGTTGAATCCTTGATTTTCAAAAAATAAATTATAAATGATACTCAAACGTACATTACACTTTAACAAAATCTCTTGTATCTTTATTTTATATATATTAGCTTACGTATTTTTTTTTTTGTTACATTAAAGAATGTAACGACATTTATCATTATATCGACGTTACTTAATATTTAGCTTTTGTAATAAAAATGTTATTTCTTCAAAATATTTATACATAGAAATATTTAGAATACTCGCAATTTTAGCTCTTCATATCTCTCTTTAGATTATCATGGATCAGTGTTTGACAAATCGATGTTTAAAATTCTCGTCAATTAATTGTAAGTCAAAAAATATTTGCCAGCATACCGATAATATTTTAAAAGAGAGAATTTACATTTTTATTTCACAATACTGCAAGCTCGTTTTTGCTGATAGAGATTACCACCGATCGATGATAGCGTGTGCTGCGAAAATTAACAAAAAATTGATAGCGTGTGTCGACAACGCTTTTTTGCATCTTCTCTCATTCGGCTTTGATTTTATACATTTACACGTATGTACGGCGTAAAAGTTTAATAGACTCATTTATCTTGAAAATATACGTGAAAATTTTTTTATGAATTTCAATGAAATGCAAAGATAATTTAATGCATGAATTTTAGCGGGACTTCAAAAATTCAACTTATGCTACTTTTAAAATAAACGACATACATAATTCAAACAATTAATAACTAATTAAAAGTAATTTAGTAAAATATTTGCATACATGTAGTTAAATTTTTGAAACTAAAGTTATATCATCTTCAAAATAAACGACTCAATTCGATCGTATCTAAATGTAAAATTCGTTCTTTATAGGAATATCCATCACAATTTCCTTTATTATTTGCGGAAAGACTCTGCGTGTATATGTATATATGTATATGTATGTGTTATATCTTACAAATACAATAGTATCTTACGTGATGTTAAGAGAAGAGGACGGTGAATCGGGGAACGTCATTTGTAGAATATTGGAGTACAATCTGGCGGATTGCATTCTTTGAAACATTCGATCCTCAATGTCGGAGAAGAGACCAGAAATACGGAAGCGAGAGAGAATCGAAGACCAGTGGAGATTTCTCAGGAAAAGATAACATACCGTGGCACTCAGAAATGGGTTCTAAACTTGTTCGTGTTTCTACCGATATAGCACTTAATACCAAAGTATTGTAGAATTTTATCGAGAGAAACTCACAAATAATATTAATTTATTATATTATATTAATTTAATTATTAATTTATTGTATATATTAAAATCGCGCTTACATTAATAAAAAATTTTATCTCTGGATCTTTTTTGTGGATACGATATTCTGGAAACAAACAGACGCATGCAAAACGCAAATTGACAGATATTGCTATCCTGAAAGAAGCACACAGATATAAATCATGCAAAAGTACTTTACTGAGAAATAAAACATAATTGCGTACGTATACAGGAAATATCTGCGCTATCGTGTCGATATGCTATTTAACGTCTTTTCACGCTTTAATTTATTGTATATATTAAAATCGCGCTTACATTAATAATTTTCCAATAATGTAGAATTGAGGATTTGCTTTGTTTATCGTTAATCAAGAAGATTGTTATTCAAATCAAAGCTCTTAAATTCTTATATTTTCAGATTATATAAATATATGTATGTAAATATATATAAATATATTTAATTAATATAATATATATAAATATATTTACATAAATTTGGTAGTTTTATAATTATAAAAAAAATTTTATCTCTGGATCTTTTTTGTGGATACGATATTCTGGAAACAAACAGACGCATGCAAAACGCAAATTGACAGATATTGCTATCCTGAAAGAAGCACACAGATATAAATCATGCAAAAGTACTTTAGCTCTTCCTCACTCTAGCGAGATCTGGTTTCCTACGGAGAATGCCGACAGGCGAATCCATCAGTATATATCGAGAATTCTAGAGAAGATGACGTATTCTCAGATTCAGCGAACGAGCTCCTGTCTCGTTGATATCGGCAGAAGGATGCGGTGAATGCATTGCGTCCGGAATCGATTCTGTCAAGGATGTTAACGACGGGCGAAAGAAGCGTTCGCTTAACTATTGTTGATAGAAGCTACCGTAATTATATACCGGTGATTGAATTTTACATTACAAGCGCATTTCTGCAGATTAATCCGGCTCTCGAAGCGTCTTTAAAATGTAGACCGTCTTCTAGCCTCTTCGCCAAACATAAATTAAATCGATAAACGTCATCGGCAAATTTATAAGTACAAGAATTCCTTTAAGGATTGCATTCATTTTTAAAAATAAATATAATAAATAACACATAATTAATTGCATTTTCTAAAAAAGATTCTATTTTGATTCAAACACACAGTTATCTGTAAATTTCGTTAAATTTAATTAAAAAATTTTTTATAGCGTTTGTGTGTTTCTTAATAATAGTAATAATAACCACAGTATAAGCAGACAATATGGGATGCACGTAGAAGCGACTATACATGATCAGACGAAAGAAATGCAAGTGGAAAGAATCAATTTATGGTCAGACAAAACGGGGAATAGAAGTTAAGATTAATATACAAGTACTAAGAAACGCGTTCATGTGTTCTAATATTTTATTTAATAATTAATATAAAATGTTACATGTACAAACATCTAATAGTTATTTTTATCTATTTGATCACATTTATCCGATCTGTCCGATTACATCCTGTGTACACAGTTCTAAGATATTCCTTTCGCTCTAATCGCGTAGCTTTCACCTCAAGTTACAGAATAACGTTGCTTTTCTCGTTCCTCGATATATCGACATAATCCTTTTCATCGATCCGGCTCGATTATACGCGGTACCATCAGCGTAACACGTGCGGAAGACTATTCACCGAGCTTACCGCGGCCTCGCTTTCCTTTTACCGACCCCGGGTGAAGATAGCGCCTGACAGCTTGCACGGAGGAGTTACGGGAAAGATGATGTAGCATCGCAGCGGTGGCGGCGGCGATGAACTCGCGCCTCGTTTGTACCAACGTAAGAACGCTGGTCTGGATGCACTACCTACTGCACGGCACGTTTTGCCGGCCAGTCAGCTAGCCAGCCAGCGAGCCAGCCAGACCCGGGAAGATGAATTACATCGGGACGTGATGGTGCCTTCTGCTTCAGGGTAGCGCCACCGATCGGAATCGCGGAAACTTGTGTGCGGATCTCGACACACGTCGGCAGCGCTCCGACCCCTCAGGAGCTTTCCTCCTCGCGTTCGTCTTATCGAGGGCTCGCGTGCTCCTCGGGTTCTTCGTGTCTCGATGCTCCCGAGCGGGGGATAAAGAGAGAGAGAGAAAGAGAGAGAGAGAGGGGGGGGGAGAAGGGAATGGCGACGGGGGAAGATTGATTGCATCGAATCCCGCGTACGGTACGACGAAAGAACTCGGCGAGTTTCTGAGCGGCGTTTTAAGGAATTTCGCTTGCATCGCGAAAGGAGGATTCCTCCGACCTCGAAACGCATGAATAGGGATGAACATTTCGAATCGCTTCGGATACGCTCGATGTGAGCGATCGCTTGTTCCATCTTCGATGCTCCACCGAGCGAGAGAATTTTGCAAGAGTGCTCCGTTAATCGGGGAAAATCGAATCTGCGATAATGTCTCCACTCTGATCATCGTTGAATTTCTTTACCGTCTCTTCTATTCTACTTCTGTCGATTTATCATGCATTTTTCTCGAACAAATTTTTTTAGCAGATATTACGAGGTGTTTTATAAGAAATATGTATGTGTGTTATGCAGAAAGATTTTCAATTCCTTATATCTACGTATTTATAGATTATTTCGATAGATAAGTGTTAATTAACATTGCGACATAACAAGATTGATGATACACAAATAATGATACAAATTTCAACATAGTAGACATAGATTAAGGGACATACCTCGACCTTTACGCCGGGGCGAGGAAATATCTGGGTTTGACTGCTCTCCGGCAGAAATCGAAAGAATTCGTGATCATCCTTGTACCATTTGACCGAGTAGAGATAGCTGCCACTCAGTATTCGCCATTCGCATTTCAGATCGATCGAGGAACCCTTCACAGCCTCTTCTGGCATTTTAAAGTCCACTTTGATATCACTGCCCGCTGAAACACAAACATATCCATTTTTAGTATTCGCAGATCAGGAATGATAATCGATAATTAATGAAATTATTGATCTCGATCAGAGAACATAAATTTTAATTTAATATCATGAAAATCAGTGCATATTTCAAACTTTACGAAATATTTTTATGCACATCAAAGATTTGTAAACTAAGATAACGGGGACCAATTCTCCTACTTTTAGAAATTTTATTTTCAAGTTTTCCTTCTTCTCCAATCTCGAAATCGAGAACGATTCCGCCCAAGTTTCGAAAGAGCAATCCAGCTTTCGCGAATCGTGTTATCAAGCCCGCTTTAATTCTTGATCACGAATAGAATTCCTAATCTCGCGCGGCGCGCAATTCCAGGCTCCTATTTCGTTAATCCGCGGACACGGACACGAGAGACGACGTTTAGAATCCGCAGACATCTCGCAATTACCGCCCGCGTCTGTCAGCCGAGTGCGGGCACGGACGGTAAAAGGGTGGCGTGTGTTAAGCGTGAGAATAAATACGCGGTTAGCAGAGGGGTGGCTAGGCGGGTTCGGGGCAAATGCCATTGCGAGTTTCGTGCCCGAAGTTTCCTCCGAAACTCGAAACGAACGCACTTCGCTGTGCATACATAGATAGTAGAACTTGCACAAGTTATTACGATATTGTAGAATAACGTTTCTGGATCGGTTTGAAGTTTCTAAGTTTAATAGAAAGTTAAAGAAAGTATAAAAAGTGATATACGTATATATACATCTTTTTATAAGCAGTAATAAATTATAAATAATTAATAATTACTGAAAGAAAAAAAAGACACAAGCGACGTAATATATACATGATTAACGATGCACAATTGTATTGCAATCTATTTAGAGCACGCAGTATAACAATGGATTCTTAATTCTTAATTTTCTTTTTTTAGCAAAGCATCGCGTTATATCGTTAAATATTTTACTGGCATAATTAATCATCACGTTATTTATCTTGTCATATAGTAATAATTACCGTAATAAATGTCGTAATGTATACCGGTAATTATCGTCAATTTTGTCTAAATCGTTTCTGTCAATTTCATAACGAGTTATATCATAGTAGGCAAACTTGTTTAGTCATATCGGAATGCTGGTCGTGTGCGGTGAGAGAATTTATTTCAAGCTTGTAACGAGCGCGTTACGCATTAACTCCGCCGGACGGCTCATAATACGGCAGGTATCGGGTTAATTTGGAGGACGAAGCACGGGAAGGGGGAGGGGGCAAAACGCGGTGTGAGGGATCACGAAGCGTGTTGGGTTTAAGTGCGCAAGCCGTTAAAGGTCCATCGAGCGGAATGTGAGAGAGACCTCGATTGCACTCCGTATCGTCCGGTCGGTGTCCGCAATTTACAGTCGCGCGTGTTAAGATTTAATGACGCGCGAATTTCGGCTTGCGAGTCAAGGTGCCCAAAGGGCGAACCGGGGTAAAGCCTCTCGTAAAGCTCTCGCAGTGTTTATGTAGCGTCTGTGAATTATGATCCCGGCACGGGATAGATTCATCAGTCGAGAAATAAATCTCGATTTTTGTATCCAAAACAGGAAAGCCATATGAAATATTATAATGCCACGGCAAATAAGCGGTACAGTTATACGACTGTTTATTACATCGCTTCATCGTATATATAAAGCATTAAGATATTTAAAAATATTCTCTAAGAGCAATTATTTAATTAATATTTTTATAAAAGAAGAAAGATAAACTTTTTTAATAGAAGAAGCTAAATATACGTTTTATTATAAGGATCGTCGGATTTCAATTAGAGAAGCTCATCTCTAGTTTGATGACTAATATATATGTATGTGAATATATATATGCATATATATATATAGACTATTGCAGAATCTAGAACACTGCGTTGACATTCCACGGAATTGGCCTAACCGTCGATGTCAGTTGCAGTTGCTTCCAACGTCGCGGTTTGCATTTCGCGATGCATTTTCGAACGCGTCTCTCCATCATCGCTTTCTCTTTCTCTCTCTTTCTCCTTCCGTATCTCGTCCGCGTGTCGTCAATTTCCGTCGTTACAACGACCGAGTCGTTAACTTGCCAATGGAGTTTGACATCTCATAGCTGAGACTGCATTACAAACGTTTCCGTGCCATTTATCAACGGCACCTGGCGTATTGAAAACTGTTTTGCTGCGATGGAACATTCGAAAAGAAAAACGCCGAAAGTACTCGCCACCATCGATTTTAGTCACGATACATTTCAATCAAAGCGAACTTTAATCACTCGCAATGTACGTGTAGTCTTTTACTTATATAACAACTAGTAAACAAGTAAAAAGACTTGGACAATCTTCTCTTAAGAATATAAAATTTGTGTCAATTTTTTCGAGTATACATATTAGCTTAATATTATTCTTAATTTATAAATATTTAATTGGTAAATATTTCTCTCTCTTCACGAGACAATTAAGGGAAAACTCGTCGACGATCTTTAACGTATTAAAAATCCATTCAAATAGTCCACTTGAAATTTATTCAGATAATATAAAGCGGGTATATATTATGATCGTATCTGGCAGAGATCTTCCCGCAGTCCCGCGTAAATAAAGTCGCCAGAGAGAAGAAATTGCGACACAAAAGCTTCCTTAAAATACGCTCAAAGTGACGGCACAGTCCATTATCCGCGTTCTTTCCTATAAATCTTATCTTTCCCTCTACTATTCGTTACTATCCCGCGACAAAGACAGCACATTACGCAAAGGAATTTGTCCAATTGTCTCGATCGGAACCGACTCTCACGAGTCGCGTCTCGCTATTGCCATCGAGGCTTCCCTCCGCATTCTGGATGCAACGGGCGGGAATATTTCTTGCTCATCGCGGACGTTAAAGCTAAGTCTTTCAAACTGTCCGAGTCTTTTCAGGCGTTTCCTTTAGAGTGTCTGATCTCTCCACCGGATTCCATTCGAGTCATGCAAGACTTCTTCCCGCGAATTGAAATCGAATGTCTGGGCTACCTCCTCGCCTTTGCGACGACCCTCGTCTCGCGTCCATTCTTCTTCATTCTCTCCTCCCCTTCCATCTGGCATGAAATTTATCTCTAAACAAGGTAAACGTCTTACCGCGCGCCTAGATTTGCGATTTCTCATCCGCGAAGCGGAAACGTTTGCGCCAAATCAAAAACGTTTGCCGATGCGAACTTTTCTTCGTCTCGCTTGGCGAAGCGAAATAATATTTCTGACAAGAGAGAGAAGCGTTCTCGTGTGTATTTCCCTTTATCGTTTTACCTACGTTGGAGCATTATTGCTCCGACTTTTTGATCTTACCTGCGTATATAACACACATACACACATATGAATGTATAAAATATATTTCATATTCAATATTCATATTTATATTATTAAACATAAATTCAAGTGTGCTACTTTACATCTTTCCGCACGGAATTTTCTAACGTATTCAACATTAAAATCTCCGTATGATTAAACTTTGAATTTAAATTTTATAAAGAAGCAAATCAACTTGACCAGTAACATGTAATCGCACAATAGAAATTTAATTTTTAAATTCCAATATATTTAATTTATAAAACATACGTTTGCATTTATATATATACATAGAAGATTATTGACGGTTCGGCTAAATAAAAATCGACGCTGAATTATTCCGGGAACCATCATTAGCGCGTTAAGTACCCGGGAAATCCTTTTGGATTCGGAAACGTACGATCACGTGACGCATAACAAGTCGCGGGAGCAGCTGATAACAAGCTCGTCCATTTCTCCGGCATTCTCCTTGCTCATAATCGGCGCTCGTTAACCGCGCGAGAACGGCTCGACGGCAGCACGAGTTTACGGGACTCTGATTGCGAGAGCTCGTTTTTCCGATTGCCAGTCGTTGCCCGCAACCAATTTCTGCCTGACGCGCGCTCGCGAAAGCCTGCAACACCCCTGATTCGGGGAAACGACTTCCGGTTAACTCACCGCCAGTCGAAACCTCATTACCGCTTGAGGATTGAGCACCCTTTCTCCGAAGGGGTGGCGGCGGGGACGAACGGATTCGCGCGCAATTGGGATAAATAAAAGCGCTCCGTCGTTTTACGTGCTTTTTGCAGAAACACAAGACGGCCACTTCGAGATATTTCTCTTTGTCTCCGGATTATGCAAACGCGACGACGCCACTTTCTTTCTATAGGTCGATGCAGCGAGGAGCCTCTAGACGCTCTTGCAATTTCGCGGAAGAGCTGCTCTTTGAAGTGGATGTAAACGTGAATGTCCTTTTTAGGATAGCGCGTGCGCGCGCGCGCGCGTGAAAAGGCTCCTCTGGAAAATGTTTTTCCTGTCGTTCTCTCATTGTAAATTTCGCCCGATTCTGTTCGGCTGCACTCGAAGGAATCTTGTTGATTGACCCAGAAATACAACGAAAAAATGTCCCGAGTTATCCTTGGGAAAGATACGCGAACGTTTTCCATCGACGACAGATTGGAGGGAAATCTTTAGAGAATTTTGCTGATTTTTTCGAAAATATTCAACAATCCATGAGAATTACACGCGCGCTCGTTCTCGCGAAAATTCACATCACACTGCTAGCGTGGTTATTTCGCGGATATTATATTGCGTTCTGTAGAGAAGTGAAGCACCTTTATACAAGAGGTACGGCTTTACTTCTCCCCTTTTGATCGAGCCCGTAGTAATATCGTCGCCCCGCGAAGAGAAGACGGTAGATAAAGCTGGCCTTCTTCTGAAATGAAATATGCAATCCTCTTTCGCGCCATAATGTAAAAGATGAAACTTGTAGTTCTCTTTTACCCACTAGGAGTTTCACCACCGCCGCCCTTTATTTGATCCGTTAACGATAAAACTCTCTTTTTCGGAGAGCCAACGCAAAGTATATGATGAACATTGTGCACCGGTAGTATAACGGGATGCGAGACGGAATCCTCCCTCAGGGTTGCATGCTTTCGAGGGTTGCATTATCTCAAAGTGCGTTAGTTATTATCCGCCATCGCGCGAACTTGAATCATAAATGAAAC